AGAAAATATAATTAAGTCATATGCCTTGTAATATAAGATCACAAGCTACCACATATGTGCCTGAAGAAAAAAAGTTCCTTTGCTACTCTTACCCATTTGTTTTAAAAATTTGTGGGCACTCAAAAACTGGCAGAAAACTTAAAAAACAAAAATGAGGGTCACAGAAAAAAAAATTATAGTAGAACAAACTCTATTACTTTATATTTTTTTTCTTTCAATTTAGAAGCAGTTCAACATTTGGTCAGCTCAAGTGATATAATTTGAGAATATTTGCTCCAACTCAACTCTGCCATCCTTACAGATGAAGAATCCAAAAGACCTTGATTTAAGTCAATTCTCATCTCTGGTCTCAACTTTTTCATCATTCAGCTCTGAAGTCCTAAGACTTCCATTTGCTTCTTCACTGACATTTAAGACAAATGGCTGGTCTCTTTAAAAGGACTAACATGGGGAGGGGGTGTATATTAAAATAGGGCACATACTTATACTTAGTTTCCTAAATATTACTTTTTGTATCTTCAATGGATTTGTAAAGGAATCCAAAAAGGAAAGCCACAGAACTTAACCCTTCCTTGTCTCAATCTCACATGTGTATAGAGCTTTACAGTTTAAATATGCAGAAAATCTCAATCATTTTGAAGGCTATATTCTCAAACCTAACATTTCTTCCAACAAAATGTGATTAATATAGTATCACAAGAATTTCTGACTATAATCAGTACAAAGCAAATGGTTATGGTAACGTGAAGTTTACAGACAGCTGGCTCAATCCACAGTCAGCTAAGAGGACTTTCCTATATATGCTGGGATTCAAAATCTGACATAGTAAAATTATATATTACATCACTGCTCGTAAATTGTTGAAATTGTACATGCTAAATACACAATATGTTCACCCCCTTTTTCTCAGCTCTAGCATCTATATAAATTTGGACAAATTACTTACCTCTCTTTGTTAACTCACTTGAAAAAGGGCAATGATAATACTATCTAACTGGATTGCTGGGTTGATTAGATGAGGGATACATATAAAAAGCTTAGAACAGTGTCTGAGACATGAGTGCTCAAAAAAACATCAGTTAGTACTTCATTTGGTATTTTCCTTCCCATGGATGGCAGGTGAAACATCTGTCTGTGATGGAAAGAACAATGACTCTGGAACCTAAGGGTTAGCCTCTGGTTTGCTGACCAAGTGGCATGTGTGAGCCCCCTGACTTTTGGAGCCTTAATCTCAAAAATGGGGAAAATATTACTATTTCTATCTACTTACATTACTGCTATGAGCATCTGAAAAGGTCATGTATGTAAAAAGATTGTGTTATACATAAAACATAATACAGATTAACCATACTGTTCAGTATGGTACTGACAGGCACTGTGGAGCAGTGGTTAAGCAAACAAGTGGTTAAGAGTTCAGACTGCTAGAGTTCAAATCCTGGTTCTTCTATCTAGTGTCTGTGTGACCTTGAACAAATTATCTCTCTTTTCTCTGCTGTTTCCTCTTTAGTAAAATGAGGATAACAGTACCTAGCTCACAAAACTGTTTACAGGACAGAGTTAATAAGTGGAAAGTAATTCTAACAGTACCTGCTACACAGTAGTGCTTAGAAAATGTTACTCAATAATTATTGTTGTTTTTATCATGATTTGGGGTAATTATAACCTAATGACAGCTCCCCTGCCTTGCCTGACTGGTTTCTCAGAGAACAGACTATTTGCCTCACCCGCTGCTGGGCAGCTTGGGCCTCTCGATGCCAATCCTCCACCAGGGCCACTGCTTCCTCCCCACTCTCAGGATGGCGTGCCTGCACCCAGCTCTGCACTTCCTGGGGTAAGATGATCAGGAACTGCTCCAGCACCAGCAGCTCTAAGATCTGCTCTTTGAGGCGGATCTCTGGCCTCAGCCAATGACAGCAGAGAGCCCAAAGCTGGCTGAAGGCCTCATGGGGTCCAGCAGCATCCCTGTACTGGAACTGCCTAAAGCGCTGGCGGGAAGCCTCAGGACCAGGGACAGGGTCACAGTCCTTCAGGGTTTTGGGTTCTGATCCCCATGAGTCCTCTTCCAGTTTCACAATCAGGAGGTCGTCAGGCTCTGACGGGGGAGAAGCCTGGGCCTCAGATACCAGGGCCACAGCCATTGTCTGGCTTGGATGTCTCACTTCAGCTGTGCTGTCCTCATTCAATGACTTCTGGCATCTGTGGTGTGTCCTTCAAGGGGCTTCTGAGAGAGAGAGGCTGTTCCCCAAGACTGTGACTATAAAAAGACAAAGGACAGAGTGAGCAATAGGACCTAAGAGCTTCACTTTCCTCACATACACACATACACACATACACACACACACACACACACACACACGCACACACACACACGCGTACGGGTGCTTGCATGCACATACCATCCACTGCCTTTGTAAGGCACCAGGGTGCTTAGCAATGCATCTTTCCTGTAGGCAGGGAGTGAGACTACAGCCTGGCACAAAGCCAGCAACCAGCTCACTCTGGAGAAAGAAAGTACAGTGCTAAATCCTCTGGGACATGCCTAAACACCTCAGTCTAGCGTCCCAGGCCTCCATGATCTGGCCTTGGAACCATGATCTGGACCTGGAGCCTTCCTTTTCCACATGTCCAAAGCCTGTCCTTCCCTCAAGTTCAGTTTTGAATATCACCCCCTCCATAAGACCTTAAATTTTGGTGTTACTCAGAATGGTCTAATTGCAAAATCTCTTTCTCATTCTACGCTCCCTGTTGGTCTTCCCACACATTTGGCATTATTCACCATCATTTTTTTAATTAGTACAAGTTCACAATACATGAAGTTTATATTAGTTTTAGGGAGTAGGTACATGTACATGACATCTCTTGATTCTTTTTTATTCTCCTTCCCATCCCCATCTACCTCCCTCCATCTATAAATCCCCTTTCCCCACTTTCATTATTATGTTTTTATTATTAGTTCATATTTATGACATATAATGTTGACAGTCATTGTGCATATTTGGTACATGTACATGACACAACTTAAATCTCTTTACTTTCCCTTCTCCTCCCCTCTTCCCTTGCCCTTGGTCTCTTAGACCCCTTCCCACTTGTAAAACATCTATCTCCCTGTTTCCTTATATCAAATCTTTATTTTGCTCTTTATTTACTTTGCCTTACTCAAGTGATACCACGTGTTATTTAAGCTGTGTGTCTGATTTATTTCACTTAACATTATATTTTTCAGGTATATCCATTTTCCTCCAAATGTCTCGAATTTATCCTTCTTTATAGCCAAGTAGTATTTTTTGTGTACAGATACCACATTTTCTTTAGTCTGTTGATGGACATGCAGGCTGTTTCCAGGATTTGGCTATTATGAATTGTGCCACTATAAACATTAGTGGGCATGTATCGCTGTAATATGATGTCTAACTGATGACTCAAAACTCCAGCTAGAGCTGTCTCCAGACTCTTACATCCAAATACCTACACTTCCACTGAATATCCCTTCCACATATACAACACTTCCATCCAGTATCCCTTAGGTATCTGAAACTCAATGGGTCAATAACTGAATATCTATTTCTCTTGCCAAACTATTCATCTTCTAGAGATTCCCCATTCAGTGAAGGCACCATCTTCCATCAAATGGCTCACACCAGAAACCTGGCCATCCTTTTTCTCCAAGATGCCCCACAACCACTTCATCACCTTTTAGCATCTGCATCCTCACTGCCACCACCTGGGTCCAGAAAATCATTGTATCCTGCACTTGATTAGCCTGCCTTGACTCCCCTTATCCCAACCTCCAGTCCACTCTTTGCACAACAACCAGACTAGATCAAAATGTGACCACATTACTTCCCTGCTAAATACCCTTCAGTGATCTTTTCCCTCGGGATAAAATGCAAACCTTGCCCGAGTGTTCAACTTCATCTCTTTATCATGCTCCCATTAGTCCAGGAGTTCCAACTACATGCTTGTGATTCCAATATATGACTCACAGAACTCTCCCACCATGCTGTATTTTTCTTTGCAATCTCCTCCCTTCCTCAGCTAGCTAGCTCTCCACTTTTTTTCAAGAACTTCCCTGTTTCCTGAAACAAGATTCCATCCTCAGACACAAACTTCCACACCATCTTATGTTTTCTCTACCATAATCCTGACCATTCTTTATTGTCATTATCTTATCCACTACATCATAAGCTTCCAGAGGGATCTAGTACAGTGCTCAGCACACTGAGGAAGCATTCAACAAATAGTAAAGGCATGAATGATCAACTGAAGATGCTGTGTCATGAAGCAAGAATTATAACTAATCCTTTTCTATGCACAGTAGATTTTTTAAAAGAATAAATGACCTTCCTGCTCATGCCAGAAGGAATTCTTTTCTTCTCTTTATGTCCATCTCTCCATGACATGTACCATTTTCTATGTTGTATTAGAGGGATGCATCTACATGTATCCCCAAGGAGATTACAGCCTCCCTGATGGTGCCCATGATGGATTACCTGAGAAAATAAGCTCTTTGTGACAAATTAACATGACATAAAACATGCCCACTCAAATGAGGCTACTAGTTGCTTCCAAGTGGCAATAACACAGCTGAACTGTGAGTGGAGGGAGGGTAGCATTTGCATTTTAGGCCATCTGGCTGTCCTAAAGACCTTCACATACTTAGGAAGAGCCTGGGAGCACAACTCATGGCTACCAGGCAACTTCCTGATCATCCTTCAGCTACCAGCCCAAAGGTCACTTCCTCTGATAAGTGTCTTGACACACACATGTCATGCCCTGTCCCCTTCCTTGCTCTCCAAAAATTGCTTCCCTAATTCTCTCTTCCTTCATAAAATGGCTGCTACATACCTCTAAGATATATGTTATCCTACACTATTATAGTTACTTATTCTTACATCTGACAGCCTTGTTAGACTAGATTACAAGGGTCAGTACTTATCTTACTCTGTTCTGTATCCAGTCCTCAACTCAATATCTGATAGCAGGGCCATTAAAGTTTTTTGCCTTTTATTAAAGTGGTGAATCCAGACTATCAAGGGCCTAATGGGCTATGGAAAATCCACAATGTGTATTAAACAAAAGAATTCATCTTTCTCTGGGGATTTTGCTCAGTGGCACCATGCCTCCCAAGCGCAAGGTCCTGAGTTCGATCCCCAGCACACACATAAAAAAAAGAATTAATCTTTCATAATTTTCCTTTAAACTACTACTTTACTGATGGACTAGACCAGATACATTTGGTCTGATCTAGTTTACTAGTCATCCACACAGAACCCAGTATGTACTCCACTGTACCGGGAGCTACAGACCCAACAGTAGCTAGGACAGACAATCCCTGTCTTCATGAAAGCTACAGTCTTAAGAGACAATGAGTAAACAAATGAAAAACATCTGTTTTCCTGCATAAAGAGGACACAGTAATAGCATTCCCACCAGGTCCAAAGCCTGGAGTTTCAGACAAAAAGTGTCTTCCTTTGGGAAGACCCAAAAAGTCCAAAGGTTAGTTTCAAATAGAAATCAAAAAGCCCAGGGAACCTATGTCCATCTTTTCCACTCCTTTCTTAAACAACATGGATAGCAGCCTATTGTGAATAGAGAGAGGTCAACACAGTCAGCCACCATAATGGTGACTTGCACTGAGGTGGCCAAGAGAAAATGGATGAGAAAATGGCATTCCTCGGTCCTGAAGCTACCAGGAACACCCAGGCCTCACCAGGATCAGCAACCTCCAAGAGTAGGCACAGTGTTAAGTGTTCTACACTGAAATTCTCACCAAATCCTCGAGGCAAGTAGAGTATCATTAGTGTGGCATTGCATTTCACTGACCTGTAACTTTCACTAAATAAAAAAACCAGAAAGGCAAAAGAGCAAAATTTAAATATCACAGCCTGTTCTATTCACCATGTGTCTGTTCAAGAGTGAATATGTGGTGCTGATACCCATGACTGTGCTATTCCCCAGTCTGGTTTTAGTTCCCTTAAGTGTCTCTTTCCACTGAGTGTGAGTGAACTGTCTTTCATACAGTACAGTCCCTAACAACCCAACTCTTTCATCTAATGTTCACACAAGAAAACATGACTGTGCTGATTAGCTTACTGAAAGGTAAGTGTGTTGACTTCTGAAATGGCTCCTTGCCAAAAGAGCTGCAAGCTGCAATTTTTAGCTAAATGTGATTTTCATCTTCTGTGCTTACTTTAGTTATGTAATTAATAATGTAGACATATGCTCAGTTACATATAGAGAAACTGAGATTCTATGAAGATTCACTTAAGATTATACAACTAGCAAATGGTAGTTAGAATCTTGGTCAAGACCAGTTTTCTCCACTTTGTTTAACTACATCACAGAGCCTCCTCCAGATCTTCTAGTCATCCAAACTTCTGAGAACATGGCACATGAGTGGAAAGGACATTAAGGGGGCTGGGGATGTAGCTCAGTGGCACCACGCCTGCCTGGCAAGTGCAAGGTCCTAAGTTCAATCCCCAGTACTGCAAAAAAAAAAAAAAAGAATACATTAAGGCAGGAGTGAGAATATTGGGGTTCTAGTTCCACTCTTGCCACTTATCAGTTGTGTGATTTTTGGACAGCTCGGGTAGCCTTGCAACTGTCTCTTTAGACTACAGCCTACAGCCTGACCCTACTCAGTAGTCATGCTAGACTTCCTAGTTAGTATGATGTGGTATAGAACAAGAGGAAAGGGAAACTAGAATCAGTGGTTGAGTTTATATGCCTACAGGGGTCTAGAAACGCAAATGAGTATATGCATGAAGTGTAGTGGGTGGGAATTGTGAAGAGCTACAGGTCCCAGGCGGAATATACACCCAGAATATACACTAACCTTCCAATTTTTTCAAACACTAGAACTGTGGATTTTTAAATGTTGGCAACCGACTCAAATTTACTTTGAACATTATGAGATTAAAGTATGATGGCTAAAGTCATTCCCCCACGGGCTGCCACTATGGGACCTTTCAGGTTAAATGATCTCCAATGTCTCTTCCAAAATCCAGGAAGACCTAGAAATGATACAGATCCCACCCCCAAAAGATGAAGGACAGGTGCTGACAACCACCAAAATCCAGATCCCTTTAAAATCACAGAGAAGCTGAAAAGCATCTTGGCTCCTAAGGCTGTGAGTATGGATATGGACAAGAGGAGCCAACCCAGTGTGTAGGATGGAAAGAGAAGATTCTCCCCACACCCAGCAGAAAGGCCAAGACTAGTCTGTGACCTCCAAATAAAAAGAAACAGTTCAGTTCCCAATGGCTCTCAGACCCACTTGGCTATGGTCCAAGCTATGGCTTAAAGCAGGCCAATCTCACATAGAAGGATTTAAACTACAGAGAGCACATAAGTTGCTTAAAGCAGGAACTTCAGTCAACTAGAAGCGGCTATCTACAGCACTATGCCGAGGAATCTAAGTTCTAAATGAATATGTACTGTAACAATAAACCATGACTGCCAGGCACATAGGAAAGGGAAGTGGAAGTATATATTCCATGTTATTTGCCATCCTTGGTTTAAATTCCCATTGGCTGTGAATTAGCAAACAACTCTGGAAGCTCATGCCTCTGGAAATCCACTGTTCTTCAATCTTAGTATAGTAAAGCTTACTCTAATGGTCTCTAGTCACACATTCACCAAGTATTTACTGACTTACTTGACTTATATCAAATGTGTAGTTTTGGGCTGGGCAGTGAGGAAATGAAGATGATTCACACACTATACCTGTACAGTGATCCTCAGCCTAGTGGAAGAGATTTTTTTAAGTCACAGATAATTAAGATAGAATGTGGTAAATACAGTAAGAGAAGTTATGGGAGCTGAGGGTTAGAAATGGCTTAATCTGCTTAAGGGAATTGAACAATGTAACAGTTGAGCTGGTGCTTGAAGGAAGAGTGGGTCTCAGTAGAGATGTGGGAAAAAGGTATTCTAAGCAGATAAAACAGTATAATAATGGTGGTAAACCAAATGGCCTACCCAGAAAATAGGGGGAAACTGGAGCATGGGATGGATGAAGATTAGGCTGCAAAGGAAGTTTATGAGGGGTCTAGATAGAAGCTAAGATGTTTGGATTTGACTCAACATGTGATAATAGGTTTTTAAGAGGGAGAAAGCACAATCAGATTTGTAGGTTAAATATTAAGATCACACTGGCTGCGGTGCGTTTGTCCATGTTGTGAAAGTAAAAAAGGAGACTTCGACAAAACCCCTGACATGAAAGGGGCAGAGTCAAGACATATTAAACAAAGATATGAGGATCCGTCGATGTGGAAGAATGGAAGAGGAATCAGCGGATAAAGTAGGTAGGTAAGTAGGTTGAGCGGATGACAGTGTCATTCATTTCCATCAGGCATAATGAAAGAAGTGCATGTTTGGGCCAGAACACAATAGCCGGTGCCACCCATTGGGGTCTAGAAGTAACTAACAACCATTAAAGAGACCATCAAATTAGGCATGTTTGTTCTAGGCGGGTAGGTAAGCAATGAAATACTATTTTTAAGATCTGGCTTCCAGTTTAGGCCTTCACATTTTCACTTCTTTCCAGGGCCCCAGAACACACTGTCATTCCCTCTGTGCTCTCCAGACTCTAAGGTGACTCTCCTGCCTCCTAAACCTCTCTCTCTCCGCTCACCTACAGACCTTCTCTAAGACCTGCCTCAGTCCCGGGGCCTTCTTCCCCCTCTCTCTCCTCATCTCCGACCCCTCTATGACCCTTGCCATCTCCGGACGCTGCATCCTCCGCCCGCCCTTCACCCTCCACCCCCACATAGATGCTTCTTTGCACCTCTCACCTTCCCCGGCCCCCTGTGACACCACCACCTCCTAAGCCTCCAGCCCAGAGCCTGCGTCTCGGCTGCCCCCGCCCCACCACCCGGACTCACCCACCAAGACACCCACTTCACAACAGGGCGGAAGTGCTCCAGGGCGCGCGCAGGGAATGCTGGGATGCGGAGTCCAGACGGCGTCACCCCAGGAACGGGGCGCCTGGGACTACAACTCCCAGAAGGAACCGCGCGAGCGCGGGTGGGTGGCTCCCTCCGTTTGCAACCTATAAAATGTCATCAACCAATAGATGTGTCATCTTCTCACAACTCTGGAACCGAGACGAATCGGAATTGGTTTGATGCCTAGGGCGGGGCCTGTTGCGACCCGGACCCCTTCCGTTGGCTCCGTGATAACGGCACGGCCCAGTGGGCGGGCACCAGAGTAGAAGGGGCGGGGCCTATTGCGGAGCGCAGAGAACTCTGTAGACCTGGAGAGATTAGAGCAGAAACAGTAAGATAAAGGAAACAGGGTGACTAGAGGTGACTAGGCTGGAGGGCAGGAGACAGGAAGACAGTTGGCAGCTTCAGTCTTAAGCCCACAGTTGAATTGCATGGATTTGAATGAATTTTGAACCTCTCCTTCCTCACCTGAAAAATAAGGGCAATAACAGCATCCATGTCACCGGCTTTTCGTGAGGTTGAAATGAGATAATAATGCTAGAACAATTAATTCAGGGCCCAGATCCTAATAATATGCAATGAATGTTAGCCATTATTATGTAAATCAGTTTATATAAAGCTTGGCACTTCGTAGGTGTTACAAGAATGTTAATCATTATTACAGAAAAATCTTGCTTTGTACCATTGTGAATACTTTGAGATATGAGCAATCTAATATGGGGTTGAGAATGTAGTCACGTGGATCCAAACTCTAACTCACCCACTTCCTGGCTGTGTGGCCTTAAACAAATAATTGCATTGCTTTTGTCTCCAATTTTCTCACCTGTAAAATACAAGTAGTATAACAGAACCTATTTTGCAGGGAATTGTAAAGATCAAATTAGATGATATAGTTAAAGCATAGTCTCAAGTCCAGCTGCTTGTGTCTGAGACTTACTTCAATTAGGATGCATGCTTTGCCCATGCACTGATTGTGAAAACTTGAGCAAATCATTTAACCCCTTTGTGCCTCAGTTTCCTCATCTGGAAAATGGGAATGATAATAATAGTATCTTCCTGGTAAGCTTGGTGAGAGGAATAACTGGGAGGAAGTATGTAAAGAGCTCAGCATATGTATAACCATTGGCTACAATTATTTTTATTAATGGCTATGAGACTGTGAGCAAACTGACAGTGCCTAGCATATGGTAGGGGCTCACTACATGTCGGCTAGTGTTAAAATTGGGAGAAATCTGTATCTTAGTTTTAATAACCCAGTTCAAATTCATTTTCTTCTGTGAACCATGTTCCAGCTTATTTATAGTAACAGCCATGTGATTTTACTCAGTAAACATAATAACCTATTAATGCTCCTTGTTATTGCAGCCTCACAACAGCCCTATGAGGTTAGTGTTGTCACCCCCAATTTACAAAGAGGGAATGGTGGCTCAGAGAGATGAAGTGACTTCCTTAAGATTATGGAGGGAGTAAGTGGCAGGGTTAAAACCCTTTGGATGTACCTCCAAGGATTCCTCTCCTTCTGACACTTCATGAGTAAGAGACCACAGGCAGAGAGAGGACAGGGCTTGGGAAGGGAGAGACAGTGCAGCTGTATGGGGTACTAGGTGAGTTGGAGACATTTGAGAGAGTGTCAGGATCTAAAGTTGGGAAGGCAGCTTTGCAGGGTCAGGTAAGGACTTCTGCTTCCAGCTGCCTGCAGAGGAGGGATAGAGGTCGACTGAGTAGGGAAAAAGAAAAACACTATTAGGACACAAGAGGGCGCCCCTCACCCTATATCCTGCCTGGAACTGGTCTGCGGTTTCCCTTGGCCTTTATGTTATTAAAGCCTGGCATTTTAAGGAAGAGGAAAACTAAGAAAGTGCCCTGTCCACTGTCATGCAGAAATAAGCAACAGAGCCTGAAGCAGACCTAGGTTCTTGCTGGTGCAGCACCCATCAGATTTCGGTTTGTAAACATTCTGTCCAGTTACTTATCAGAACCCCCTCTCATCTCAGCCTGCACTGTACTCCAAAGATGCAGAGATGAATGAAATAAACCTGGTCCCTGGTCCCGGGGCCTGATATCTAAATTTTCCCAATCACGCACTCCTATGAGTTTTGAAGCATACACTTCTGACATCTGTGTATTTATTTTATGGTACACATATAATATACTTTATTGAACATTTGTATGCATTATTAGGTCCTGCTGTTTGTGCTTTAGACATATTAGCTGATTTAATTCTCACAAAATCCTTTCAGGAAGATGTAATGCTTTCCCATATTACAGAACAAGAAACCATGGGACAAATAGATTAAGTATCATGCCAAAGCCACGTGGCTACAAAGCAGATAGTCTAGTTTTAGAATAAGGTGAGATTTTAAAAAATAAAGAAAAATGAAAGTTGTAACATTTTCTTTCCAAGCCCCAGTGAATCACCCTGTGAACCCCACTTTGGAGACCACTGCACTAGGGGCTCCCAGGTCTGTGGTCAGTGCTATGCAACAGAGAGGTGCAGAAAGTTGAGAGAGCCCAAGAGCAACAGCTTATCTAGGGCTGGAGGGCAGGGAAGGTTTCCAGAGAAAATGATGGCTGAGCTGAATCTTTAGGGATGCTTAGGAGGTTCCCAGGGGAAGGGTAGTCTTTAGAAAAGTGTTCAGAGTGACACTATTGCTGTCATACTCAAAAGCATGATCGATGTGAACACAGCTTAATGTTTCCACTGGGGGTGATCAGTCCGCTGTCTTCTGACCAGCTTTTTGGCCCTCTCCCATCAACCCTTCTCTAATCCCAGATCACAGAAGGGATCCTTTGTCTCTTAAAGATGTGGTTGAATTTGGCCTAGTCCCAAGTTCCACAGTTTAGGAGTCCCCAGAGCCCACCTTCCTTCCTTCCCCAACATGCCTCATGAATCCCTCCTGCCTTATTTACTTCGGGCTACAATTTCTGTGCTTCAGTAGTTCCTTTACCTCCTGCCTCATGTGAGTTGCCATTTAAAAAAAAAAAAATTTCATCAAGCCAAATATTTCGTAGATTTAATAATACACTGAAGATAATAACGTACTAAAGACTTTGAGATCACATAGCGTAACACATGGCCAATTGCCACCTCCCAATTTTCTCGCACAGCTACTAGAGCCTCCCAAAGTCTGTGTTCCCAACATTTGGTCCTCCTTGCACCCACAGCACCCCCTCTTCCTGGAAACTGAGTCCAACCTCACAACTAGCTCACACACATTCTCTCCCTGCCAGTGTGGCTGCTTTTCCTACCCCCACCTTCCAATACACGCGCCCCTACCCTACCTAACCCAAGCTTCCCCAGCCTGCTCCTCAGCCAAGCCCGGAAGCCATTCTTCTTCTCATCTTCCTTGGACCACAAGCAGTAGTCTCCTCAGCGGAGCAGCCAGGCCAGTCTATGGTAGTGGGGGAGCTGGTGGCGGGAGATGCGCTCCAGGAAGACCACCAGCACCACTGGGGGGTGGGGGGCAGCCAGCAGGAGAGAGGTGGCCAGGCGGAGCTCCAGGCGGCAGCGAGGTGTGTGCAGGGCCTGATGACTCAGTACACAGAGTGTTACCCGGCTGCCTGTTATGCTGTCTGCCACATTATTGACCACATCCTTGCCTGGCTCAAAATCTCGCTCAGGGAGGCAGAGGTGCAGTCCCTGGCCAGCGGGAGGGCAGCCCTCCAGAATGGGCAGCAGTTCCTGCACTACTCAGTCTTGGTCTTGCCTGCAATGGGACACAAACACATCATAGAGGAACCTCTTGCCCTCATCCCTTCGACCCCTCAGACCTTGGAACCAAGCCCTGAACAAGGCCTGGAGATAGAGGACCCAGGAGTTACTGGCTTCCTGGAGGAGGGCCAAGGAGATCAGCAGAAACAGCAAGATAGAGCTGCCCAAAAAGAATTCCAGCTCCAAAGTCTCAGGACAGTGGCTCCAGAGAAAGGGGAAAATGGGATTCTTGGATTGGTTCCCCACTTCCGAGTGGCACAGCTGATTTCTTGAAATATACATGTATGTTCTGGGGGACTGCTTCAGCCAGAATCCCACCCAGGCATTGGCACACTGGCAGGCCAAGGATGAAGACAGAATGTACATGTACTGGGGCATCTGAGGACTGTGTTCCCACAGACTGTCATCCAGGACAAGGCCATTCTCCATGTTTAGCACTAAGACCTGGAGACTGCTGAGGCCCTGGAAAGCAGCAGCTGACAATGTCTCCAATCCTGTATTGACCAGCTGCAGCACCTGAAGCCTGGGCAGCTCACCCACCAGCTCCTCCAACCTCACCAGATGGGGCTGGGATTTGGACTTCAGTGCCTCCAGCTTCAGCTCCTGAAGGCTGGGCAGCCCTGTGATATAGCAGGGCCTGGGGCTGTGCCTATCCCCCTGTACCCTCAGGGACTGGAGCCTAGGGAGCAACCAGAGCGAGAACGTGGAGGTGTTCTGGAAGCAGAAAGCCTCCAAACTACTGCCAATCAGGAAGAGTTGATGAAGGGCAGGGAAAATCTTGAAGATGTTCTGGGTCTCCAGCTGCAGTCCCCAGCCTTTTAAAGTCGGGGTCTGCAAGACCGGAAATACATTAGGCAGCAACTTCCAATGCTTCGTGCCTGAGCCAGCATGAAGCTCCAAGCTGGTCAGCATCGTGGGCAGGGACAATACCATCCCAGCAGGGCCAGAGGGAAGCTGTAGCCTCAGGTTGTTCGGACTCTTTGGACCCCAGAAGCCCCAGGTTGGGTTTAGCAAAATGTGGGTTTCCAGCAGATTGAGGGTGGTCAGTGCAGGCAGAGAAGCCAACCAGCCCTCACTCAGCTCTACCAGTGGATTCTTACTCAAGTCCAAGATTTCTAGCCTCCCTAGGCCCTGGAATACCTGTCTATCCAAGAAAATCAGCTGGTTTCCCTGAAGAAATAGCTCCTGCAGGTTGGGCAGACAGGAGAAGGTGGCTGGGAGCAGGGTATGCAGCTGATTCCTGGACAGATTAAGGGTCCACAGTCCAGACACAGCCTCTGTCTCACTCGTGCACAGTGTGGCACTCTGTAGTTGGTTATTGTTCAAGTTCAGTCTCTGAAGCCTGGGCATGGCTGCCAGGAAACCCAGTGGCAGCTTAGTAAGGCCATTAGACTGAAGATTCAAGCTCTTCAGGCTGTGGCAGGAAGCCAGGGCTTCCAGAGCTATGTCCCTTACCTTATTCATTTCCAAGTTCAGCTCTTGGAGCTCAAAGTGGGCAACTGTCTCAGCAGGGAGCTTAGCCATGGCAGTGAATGCCATGAACAGAGCACTGAGCTTCTGCAGCCCCAGTCCCACCACTTCAGCTGCCTCCATCTTTGTGTGGCTCAGGTACAGTGACCCTACCTTGAGGCCCCAGAGGGCCCCAGGTCTGGCCATCTTCAGCTTCTTGTTCATTGACAGATCCAACATGTTCAGGGTCCAGGCATTCCCAGAGTGGGGATGATGTACCAAATCTGGGAAGATGTCAGCCAGCTCTCCCATATCCTGAAGGCAACTGTGCTTGACAGCCAGCTGTTGTAGACTGGGAGGCAATCGAACACTCGAGTTCCTGTCCAGGCAGGGGCCCAAGAATTGGAGTTGCTGGAGGGATCTCAGGTCATTAAAGGCATCAGAGGGTAGAAATAGGTAATAGTCCTTTCTGGGAGGAAAAGATATGAAAGAGAGCCTCTGAAGCTGCCCCAACCCCTGGAGAGCTCCTGGCAGAAGTTGGGTGAGTTTCAGGTTCAGTCCCAGGACCTTGAGCCCAAGCAAGGTGGAGAAGGCATTCTGGGGCAGAACAGAAATAGAACCAATGAGGCAGAGCCCCTCCACACTCTGAGGCACAGCTTGCAAGGCCTTTGTTAGGTTGGTCACAGAGCTGCAATGAGCAAGGAGGGCCAGCCTGGAGTCCAAGGGGCAGACCAGGAAGAAGGGGGAGACCAGGGGCAGCCGGAAGCCTTCTGTCACCAGGCAGTTGGAAGCACTCCAGCCAGCAGTCAGAGGAAGGATCAGGAGAGGACCAGACAGCAGCAAATGCCTATCCATCTTGGCACCACCTTGGTCCACAGAGAAGGAGAATTGGAGCCCCACTCACTTCCTTTCCCTTTCTCAGAGAGGAACCCAGGGCCACCTTAGCCCTCCACACATGCACATGCCCAGTACTCACAGCAGCGGCAGGATACACCCCTCTCAGTATGCCCAGAAAGTCTGAGAGCAGAGTCACAGGACCACAATGCTTCCCAGTGGTAGAACTGCTGGGGAACTGAATGAGAGGGAGGGACGATAGAAGGAGATGCTTACAGCTGAGGCTCCAAGGGTTAGGTAGAGGAAGTACACTAGTGGTAGGACCCAAGTCTCGCTTCTCTGCAATAAGAAAGCAAGCAGTGTTTTTAAGCATAAAATTTCAAGCTAGAGAGCCAGGATATCTCTCTGCCATTATCCATTATGCCTTCCACCTCTGAGCCTCAGTTTCCTCACTTGTAAATTAGGCACACTAACCCCAGCTTCATGGGATCACTGCAAATTACAAATGGAATGGGTTTCTCACCACACTTTCTTTACACCTTCCTTCTCTGACTCCTAATGGGAAAAAAAGTTCCTAAGTAAGCAATAAAGCAGATATTTTGTAAACAAAATAGTATATCAAAATTATGCCACTGTAGACATGTTGTAATGTCTCCACACAGAAGATTCCAAAAGGCCCAAGCTTCACCTGAGAGTACTAAAGGGTTCCATTCTTGCCCTTCTATGCTGGGGCAAGAAATGAAGGTCTCCATGACCTTATCCTTGACATGCACTAGCAGGACCCAAGGGAGAAAAGAAAGAGAAAAAGAAAAGAGCTTTATAGTTAAACAGTAAAGCATTCAGTACAAGTCAACATCTGTTCATAATTTTTAAAAATAATAAAGAGAAGAATAATTCCTTGAGTTGCAACAGATGTACAACACATGTAATGCTTAATAGTGAACAACCTATTGCATTCAACTTAAAACCAGGAATGAGACAATCATAATTAAATTTGTTCAACATCATAATGGAGGCTTAAGCCAAGAAAATAAGAAATAAAAACAGCAGAAATTAAGAGTGTTTTAAAGTAAGGAACACAAAAGGTCACCGTTTATAAGATGCTATGATTGTTTACACAAGAAATCCCAGAATTTCTATTAAAATTAAAGAATACTTAGCAAAAATGCCGATTAATAGATATATTTTTTAAACTTTCTAATGTACCAGCACATTAGTTAGAGTCTCAATAGATGACAACATATTCAAATTAGGACTTTCTAAAAATTTTATGTGCAGAGTATGCTAGCTAACTGGAG